AGATATATTGATCTCTAAAGAATTCGATTATTTTGAATGGATGCCATGTTCAAATTAAATTGAATTATTCAAGATTCAATTGCATGTCTATTTATATACGATAGCACTTCGATATGAATTTTGGAAACGAATCGATTGGAAACTCGCCATCCGTAACTGCAAGTGTGACTCAAGTGCTAATATGGAGAAAGCCATCGAGGAGTTTCATGTTTTGCACACATTGTCCTTTTTCTTATATGTCTCACTTTGTGATCCGACAAATGTGAAGCAATTCACGAACATCTGGGTTTAATGTGTTGACCGTGATATGACCAAATTGAAGTTTGGTTAATCACGGTATTAAATGGAGCTGTAATATCATTAATTATGAAAGTTCATATGCTTTCATTAAATAATGACATTTCTAGTCTTTCATATGCTGACCAAAGGTTCAGTTAAATTATTTATCCAATTGATAGACATAACTACTGATATGATCGAACTTTAAAAGAGTTGATGAACTCTAAGTTCCAGCCTAACTCGAGATTTGTTGGGGTTTGAGGTGCTTACTTCGAATTAGAATTTGAAATATTTGAATTGATAAACTAAACTATAGTGAACACCTTGTTAAACTTTAGATGCACACAATGTTGGAAATTGAGTATCCAATGCACCGATTCAAAATCTATTAGTAAATATGTTTTACTCTTGAGAGTGTAATTGTTTCGTGAAAATTCTTCATACAATTTGAGAATTGAAAGAAATTAGAACTTTAAATAAAGTTAGAAGAAATAATGATAGCTTCAAAGATTATGGAAGAATGTTCAATTGGTGACAATTTTTGCATGTTATACATTTGATTGAGATAGCTAGCTACAAATGAAATGACACCAAATGTCATGAATAATGGTAAGTCACGGCACATATATGTTAGACATAATATCATTTGAAAGTAACTGTCAAAAGGAACAATATCGATTGATTTTGTAAAAGGATAACATAGTGGATCCGTTTACGAATGAGTTGTCTAGAAGAATAGATTGCGCATTGAAGGAAATAGGTTTTAGGCCTAAGCTAATGGGTCAACTTAATGGAAACTTAACCTAGCGACTGGAGTAGCCTAGCGACTGGAGATTCCAAGGACTAGGTTCAAAGGAAAACTAGTTACAATTGATTCGATCAGAAGTACTTCGAAGTTTTTAGCTCCTCCCTATTTCTATGATGCAAATAAAAGTTGCCTACCAAAGATTAGTTAGGATAAATTGTGCTTTTAATGATGACAATATCTTGTAAATAGAACAAGTGAAATATTGTAGGGTACTCTTTATAGAACATCATCTATGTAAGTTTATATGATAATTTTACGTAAGCGAATTTTCTAGCATACTTGCATCATCCAAGAAGGTTAAGGACCGAAATAATGAAAATTATAGAGAATCAAGGTTTGATATGACTTATGAGAGATAATGTGTTTGATCTATTGTCTAGGCTTATAATGAATGCTTATAGTTCAAAACGTTGTTTTTACTGATTAACCAAGTTAGTTCGATAAATTCTTACCTATGAAGATTTAAAGCGAAAGTTGCCGATCTGATGCATTATATTTTAGTTGTACTTTTCTTCGTCTTTCTTGAATTTGGTCGACTTCTTTCATTCATGTAGGGAATTGTTGAAATAAATGATTAATTATTTATAGTGTAAATTGGAATGAGTCTCTATTAGATGCAACTCTTCAATTGCAAAAAGTGCATATAAAGAATCATGTTGTTTCGAAATAGATGTGACCTCTAAATGTGCATGATAAGAAGATTTGACATTTTAATAGGGTACAATCTACACTATTAAACATGAAAAAAGGTATAATCTATGTCAAAAGAAACAACCATTCAAAAAGCCACTTGAAAATTTACATATAGGATCCTCCAAATTCCATTTTCTTCACTCCAAATCAGTTTTATATAATTAGTTTCTAATTCTTTCCTTCTCCTAATTATGTATTTTTGACTTTCCTGTTCAATTTTAGCATTCGATGTATTTTGGTGTATAAGAGTATAGTCAAGAGTTGATCCGCCCAACAAAATTAATATCGTGCTATATTATTTTGAAAGAAGTGATATATCTTGGAATACATACGTCCATTTGATCATATTAATACCAATGTAGGGTGTGAAAATTGTTTTAAGAAGATTTGCATTCACATACCTAGCTTCATTTCATCTCCTTTTAATTTTTACATTGTTTCTAAGTGTTAGTAAGCAGGGACGAACCCACATGGGGTCATGTGGTATCAAATGACCTCACAGTTTTTTGAATTATTTATTATTTATTATTATTATTATTATTTTATTTTTATTTTTTGCTGAAAACTTAATTTTCTGCCCCAAAAAGTCCAAATCCTAATTCTATATCCATATCACATGGTCCATATCCATTATTTAGTCCATAGACATATCATATAATCTACCGATTTCTTCCCAAAGTGCAAACACCGAACATGAACAGCAAACAACTGATTTTTCTTTTTTATTTATGATACGTCATTCGAAAAAAAAAAAATTTTGACCCCACAATTCGAATTGTCTGGGACTGCCCCAGTTAGTAAGTCATCGCTTTATAGATTTTTTATTCATGTATCTTGATTTTGATAAATCGAAATTCTATCAGATATTTTGCTCCAATAAGTTCCAACAGGCAAGTTTAATAAAGTACTAGAACGCAAGCTAAGGTAGAGATTCTTATTCAGTTGCGCCTGAAATGACACAAAAACATGAACGAAGATGAGTTTGAATTACTACTGGGGTGACACCAAATAATGTATTGCCAAAAGTTATGGGGCAAAAAGAAAACTTTCGAAAACTTCTAGGGGGTTACTAATATTTCCAATAATATTTTTGGATTACACGGAATGGCGGTCGGCAGTTATTTAACCGTTTTAGAATTCAAATTTTCAGTTATCTTAAAAACCGCTTTATATAACATTATACTCTCATAATCTCAAATTGTCTGAAAATCTGCATGCATAACTTATTATGTTTAATTAATCTCTGTCAAATCCCATAAAGAAAATGGAGCAATCAGAAGCAAGAGGCATCAAAATCTACACTGCATCACCACAAGTTGAGCCACCCCTTTACCCTTCCTCGCCACCCGTCGGTGATCTGCCCCGTCCCGGTGGCCGAAAAAGGCGAGCGCTAGCCAGTGGAGTGCAAAAAACACTCTCGAAAACGTCAATGCTCGTAAACTTCCTCCCAACAGGAACCCTTCTAACATTTGAAATGGTGCTTCCTTCTGTCTATGGCAAAGGCGAATGCTCTCATGTCTCGACTCTCATGATCCATGTCCTATTAGGCATCTGTAATCTGTCCTGTTTCTTCTTCCACTTCACGGATAGTTTCCGTGGCCCGGACGGGAAAGTGTACTATGGA